TAGTACATAGAACATGATTAAGTAAATGCAAAGGAATTGAAATTATCCCATGTATACTGTCAGACCATAGTGCAATGAAATTGGAAATTAATGACAAAAGAAAACACAAAAACTCCATAACAGTTGGAAATTAAATAATGTCCTCCTGAACAATCAGTGGGTCACAGATGAAATCAAAGTAGAGATTAAACATTGTTTACAGTCCAACGAAAATGGAGATACAACCTACAGGAACCTGTGGGATACAGTGAAAGCAGTCCTCAGAGGGAAATTTATAGCAGTGAACTCCCACCTTAGGAAAACAGAACAAACACAAATAAACAATCTTATGTGGCACCTCAAGTTCTAGAAAAAGAAGAACAAGTGAAACCCAGAGCCCAAAGAAGGCAGCAAATTTTAAAGCTCAGAGCAGAAATTAATGCAATGGAGACTAAAAAACAATACAAAGAATCAAAAAATCAAAGAGCTGGTTTGGGTTCTGGGGATTTAGCTCAGCGGCACAGCGCCTGCCTGGCAAGCATGACATAAGTTTGATTCCTGCTACCAGAAAAAAAAAAAACCAAACAAAAACAAAAAAACCCCCAAAGAGTTGGTTCTTTGAAAGAATAAATAAAATAGATAAACCCCTAGCCAGCCTTATGAAAAAAGTAAAGAAAAAACTGAAATAAATGCAATAAGGAATGAACGGGTGAAGGATCCTGAAGAAATTCAGAAGATCATCAATACCTACTTTGAAAATCTTTACCCTCATAGGATGGAAAACACAGGAAATGAACAGATTTCTAGATACATATGAATTACCAAAGGTGAATGAAGAAGATATAAAAATCCTGAATAACTCAGTATCAGCCAGTGAAATTGAGAATGTAACTAAAAATTTGCCAATGAAGAAAAGCCTGGGTCCTGATGCATTCACAGCTGAATTCTACAAGCAATTTAGGGACAATTTCACAGCAATTCTTCTCAAACTGTTTAATGAAATTGAAAGGGAAGGAATTCTCCCCAACTCATTCCTGGAGGCAAGTATTATTCTGATACCAAAACTAGAGAAAGACCCAACCAAGAAAGAGAACTATAGACCAATCTCCCTAATGAATATAGATGCAAAAATTCTCAATAAAGTACTAGCAAACAGAATACAACAAGTCATCAAGAAGATTATACACCATGCCCAAGTGGGATT